GAAGAGATAGATTAAAAGGCAATAATCAAAAAGCTAAAATAAACGTGAAAACACTTCCACACAAATTCTTTCCATCTGAAAAGTCAATACTGTCAAGATTATATTAAAAACTTGCTTGATCAGCTCTATAACGACTACAACACTTAGTCGGATCTACACCAGTTTCAAAACCTGACGCCTAATCTGAAATCCCACTACTAAATCCAACAAATTAGCCATTCTACGTCGCTATGAATTACAAAAAAGATCATACACCACAGAAAAAATTCAATAAGACGACCTATACATCCGATCGCCTTGTCCACGTAACTCCGTAACACCGTTACGTTTTTGCTCATTTTCTTTTGGTCATAACTCTGAAATGAAAAGTCGTACAGAGACGAGCGACGTCTTAAATTGAAGACAAATTTGTTTTCAAGATTTTGAGATCAGTCCGAGTTCATAAGAACGTTTCTTCGAAAATCTGTCAGTGAAATACCAACACCGACTTTTGCAAAATCCAGCGAAAAAGTAGGTATTAGTATTTTGGTTATAGATTTTCGAGAACACATTTTTATGAGTTCGGACTGGTCTCAAAATCTTTCAAACAAATTTGTCTTCAATTTAAAACGTTGCTCACTTCTCTACAACTTTTCCTTCCAGAGTTATGACCAAAAGAAAATGAGCAAAAACGTAACGGTGTTACACTCTGCCGCTAGCGTTACGTGGACAAGGCGCGATCCTTTCACTCGAACTCATATATACGCTTGATAAAAACCTACAAAGTTACGTCAAACAACGAAATGCAAAGTTGCCTAATCAAGACTATGGACTAAACACGTCCCACCACCTTCGGGCGGCAACTCAGCATTCAACGCTTCTGATAGACGGGTCAACAAGCAGTACTCTGAACAGAACTCAAAAATTTTACACGATAATTCCCTCACAAAATACATCAATCGATGAAGACCGAAATCCTACACCCACCACAACTCAACAGAAGATCAAAGCAGATACAGGAGCTAATTTAATAAAGAATTAGCAACCACGTGGAGTAGGTGTGAGTGTGAATTTAGTTTAAACAATAAAACAGACTCACACTGACAACCACACACATGCACCATTCAAACTCACACCCACACTCTCACAGGTTTCAAAACTTGAACAATAAGTCTTATTCGTATAATCAATTTGTTTTATATTCTTTTGTTAAACTAACCGAATTTTTCATTGAAGATTAATAAACTTAAAATAAATCTACCCATCCCGTCAATCAAAAGTGACATCTCAGTAAAGTCAATCGGATTCAAGAGTTTTTGAATTCAGTCGATCAAAACTGCTGGATTCTGGTCGAATAAATTGATCTTGTATGTGTACAGCTCCAAACTAAAATGGACAAGAAAAGTCATTTTTCGACTTTATACGTGGAGCATAGACAACTCTGAGTTTCCCATCTGTAGTACCATTCATTGAGTTCAAAAACCTCCGAAACTGATCATCGTCGACACAACGTTTTCAGACGCAGATCCGATGGGCTCTATCTCTCGGAAAACACGAAATAAACGTTATTTTTACTAAAAGTATGCTAGATTTTGATAAGATATCAAAACTTCAATGATACTGCAAATGAATAAAGTTTAAATTCAGTTCGGTATTCAAATTGAATAGTTCTTCAACATTTATATCTGATTGTAATCTGTGCACCTCAAAATCCGAATACATCCATCGGGATACGTCATGAATAGCTCATATTTTGACTTTAATAGTTTGCACGACGAAGAATAATTTGATCCGTATACATCAAATCTTCTTAATTTGGATGAGAAAGCTCCCTATTATTTTCTTCAATCTTGATAAGATTTTTCAGTTCAAGAAAATATTTATTCTAACCATAAGAAGATTATTAGACAACGTAATTAAAATCAAGCTGATTTGAATAGATGTAAGTCGATAGATATAACATTTGTTTGTTTTATTATCTTAGAATTCAATTTATTCAAGGATGTCAAACTCAAGCAACACGTCTGGCGATGAGAGTACCGATTACTATCCCGATATTGCATTGTCATACAGTTCTCGTTTTTGGCTGTTTCTTATTTCAAATATTTTATCAATGTTGTGTTGTTTTTTTGTTCTTTATTATTTATTATTTGATCGAATTCTTCGTCAATCATTGAATAATCATGTTATTATAATTCTTCTTTTTATTTGTTTATTATATGAATTATTTGATGTTCCATTTATTCTTAATTTTTTTCTGCATGGTTTTAATTGGGAATTTCCAGTAAGTTTTTCTCTGTTCTGGTCATTTATTGATTATGCATTATATGGAACACAATTTATAGTATTTTCTTGGGCAACAATCGAAAGACATATTCTTATATTTCATGATCGATGGTTATTCAATAGAAAAAGACGTTTTCTTATTCATTATCTACCATTAATAATACTTATTCTATATAGTTTTATTTATTATTGTATAATTATATTTGCTCCATTTTGTCCATATATATTTTATCGATTACCTGCTTATGGTGTTCCTTTTCCTTGTATATATTATTATGTGAATATAATTTCAATATGGGAACTTGTATGTCATCAAATAATTCCAATATTTATTATAATTATATTTAGTTTATCTCTGTTAATACGTGTTTTATGGCAAAAATCTCGTTTAAATCGAGCAATACTATGGAGAAAACAAAGAAAAATGACGATACAATTATTATCGGTTTCAATACTTTACATTATTTTTAGTGCTCCAGGAGTATTTTTAAACATTTCTTATCAATTCGGAATATCTAGAGCTGTGGGAGTGGATTTTATGTCATATGCTTATTTTTTCTCTTATTATATTGTATTTCTTTTTCCATTTGTATGCTTAGGAACATTGCCTGAACTTAGGAAGAAATTAGAGAAAGTTTTCTGCTGTCAACATCAACAAAGACAAATTGCTCATGGTAATCTTCGACGAACTCCCATCACACCTAACTGAACATGTTTGATCAAATTCTTTGTTTCATTTATTTTAAAGAAAAATAAAATTCTATACGCTTCTGCATTTTATATATATGTATTAAAGAAAAGAACAGAATAGATGAAGATTTGTTTAAAATTTTCTTGAGAAACTTTACACTACTATTTCAATTGATTAAATAACTATTAAGCAAATACACAGAAAAATAATTCAATGTTGAAAGATCCTACAAAGTAATCGATTACATCTTGTTGAATGATGTCACATAAAAAACTCAATTGTTAAAGACGACGTAATAATAAGATGTCCAAATCGAATAATTTGATGTATCTGATATTGATATAAATCTCACCCGTTATTAGTATGTTTGATTATTAGTGTGAAAAGAGTATTTATTTATAAAGCTTAAGAGAGATTAGAAATGCTTTTTTTTGACAGAATACGATGTCTTTCAACAATTATTTTCATTAATATTTAAAAAACAATCCATGATAACATAAGCATGTTTTTCTATGTATATTGAGAAGATTTTTATTAGCCGAAACGGTTAACGATTATTTCATTCCCTATGAACCAGAGATGTTCATAGGGCACTACCAAGATTTTTATATGAGCCCTGTCCTGTAAAGAACTATATCAGATAGAGCAGGGCGGAGAGTATCTTTTTGCCTTGAAAATTTAGCATATTAGATTCTCTTCTATAACAAATATTTTAATTTGTTTTGAGAATTTTCGGAATAAGAAAATTAGCACACATGGATTATTCCATGGGATCTCTCCCACAAAATCCAAGAGTGTTTCCAAATCGCATGAAACTTTCATGATTTGTAGACTATATTAATCGAAGATTATCTGACAGACCAACTTCTTAAATTTCATTAATAGACACATACCTATTAAAAATGCTATATTGAACGGTTTTTGTATAAATCACAGAAATTAGAATTTTTTTTCAAAATGTAGCTGTCGATTTAAATGTAAAAAATAGCAATTATATTTAGAGTCCGGTGACCTAATTCTGCCGGTAAAAAAAATACTTTTTGTATTTCTTTTATAACTCGAGTTATACATATCGTAGAAAAGTCATTTTTTCTTTCCGGGTTAGAGCCAACATTTCTCTATCGAATGATATAAGATTGTTAACGAAATAATAAACGAATCACTCCAGAGAAGGGTGACAATAGAGAGGGGGTCAAATTTCATTCAATTCTCATGTGTTCCTANCATTAACCAACAATATAGCTCAAAGTATAGCCATTTAATAATAAGAAGAAAAGGCTGAAAACTAAGCTGAAACCGAAATAAAACCGAAACATAGAATTGGTAATCAATGATTCGAATCAATGATAATCAATCATATTTTTTGATTTTCGATTTCATTATCGATCTTTCTTATTACCCATAGCAATCTTAGTTAATGTAATACTTCGAATGCATGTATGAAGGTACGTGACTGCAAATAAGCATACATACACGTACATAGACTTATTTTATTTCATCCAGAAGCTTCTCCTTTAAGTTAAGGGAATAATGTACTGAACAGATCTCGAACCAAGCTAACCACTTCCTGCACTGTTTTCAGCGATTTTGAGAGATTTTGAAAGATTTTGAGGGATTTTGAAAGATTTTGGAAGATTTTGAAAGATTTTAAAAGATTTTAAAAGATTTTGAAAGATTTTGAAGATTTTGAAAGATTTTGGACGCCAAAATCTGCTTTTTCCCCCTTGGAAAGGACCCACAGCTTTCTATTGAAATAGCCAAAAAACTGATCACGTGACTTCCAAACAGCCCCTAAGTGAATGATGTTTTGATTCATCAGACATCGCACACTGCAGACCTTAGCTCGGTCAAGAAAAGATACTCATAGACAGTCATAAGGAGATATAATCAGTAGCTCCAAATAGATGATGATTTGAATATGTCGAGATGTTTGACATACTTCTAATTTAAGAAATTTTCTTTGTTTTGATTCTTTATCATATTCTGATTTAAGATCTTTTCATTGTTTTCTTATTCTTTCCATAAAAAAAGAAAGAAATAATTTTCATACTCGAAGAATATCTTGAAATTGTCGACGAAGTTTTGTTATATCATCAAGACGTTGTTCTTCAACACCTCGTCTTCTACACCATGTTCGAGTATTTTGTCCATCAGATTTTACCTTTAAAACCAAATTAAAATTTTTAACAAATTAGTTTCTTTTTTTTTTGCTTACATAAATCTATTCATCAAAAAGATTTAATAATGTGAATGGATCATTGTGTTTAGACATCATTGGACGTCGACGTGTAATTGTCTCTGGATCACATTGAAGAAAACTAAGAAATGGTGATTGAATACTCAATGCTGATGCCATGATTAATATACTAAATAAATTATTTAGATTTAATTTTTTTTTTAAATTTAATTTTACTTGAAAAATACAAGCAAAAATAAGCATCTTTCCAATCGAAACATCAACAGGAAGTCGAGCAAGCATTGCTCCAATTGATGTTAATGAACAATCAATTGTTGATAAAGCAGCTTGTTGTTGAAGACGACGTAAAGCACTATCAATCGCTGTCTTATCTGGTGATTCAACAAATGGAAATCTATTAGAAAAATATTTCTTTAAAAAAAAAACTTTTTTCTTCTTTTTACTTTCTTGGATCTTTTAAACCCATAAAAATTATTTTTAACATCAAGGAATCAAGTGCTACACAACGAATTTCTGATGTAGAATATTCTTGAAAACTTAAATACTCATATTTCTATTAAATTCTTGTAAACGTTGCATTTTATATTTTGCATCATAGGACATTTCTTTTACTTTGCCTGAGTCAATTATAAAACGTACACCATCAATTGTTACAGAAGTTTCAGCTATATTTGTTACTATAACACATTTACGACATATACCTTCAGGTGGCATATCGAATACCTAAAAAAACCAAAATGATCATTTTATAAGTAGAATATATATATACTTTATCTTGTTCTTCTAATAGAAGTGCACTATGCAATGGAAGAACAATCCAATGTTGAGTTTCTTGAGCACAAGACTGAGCTGCTTCCATAACGGCTTGAATTTCAGCCATACCACTTAAAAAAATCAACATATCACCACGATCTGTTGATGGATACTATATCAGAAAATAAAGAATTTATTCCCAAATATCAAAAACAAAATTATTTTTATATTTTACTTTATTATCAATCTATTCCATAATACGTAAATATGATTTAGCATCAATTTTCGATGTTTTTCCAGCTGATTCTTTAACTTTAATTGGAAGATAATTAACTTGAATTTTGTACAAACGACCTGGTACCTAAATGAAAGAAATATTATATCATGAAGTCTGTCAGAGTATTTGTCTTTTATGCTTTTACTTCTAATCATCATCGAAGGTAAACGCTTTCAAAAATGCTATAAATTCGACAATCTATAGTTTTAAACAATAATATCAATTTCACATAGATACATCGTTTCGACTTCTAGTATTAATCCGTTCCCTCCGGTCACTGGAATGACCATTTGTAGAACGATTGTAATGGAATTTAAAAACTTTGGAGACATATTTTGTAGTGAACTACATAAGCTATCAATCAGTAAACAAGGTATTCAATTTTGTTGTTCTGTCTTTCAAAAAGATGAGTTTGGGCGAAACTACAAAAATTGATTTTTTTCAGTAAAATATTTTCCTATCAACAGATTAGATACATTTTAATAACGTATTGTATGGTATATAAAAACAACAATGTGCACTACTAATATCAATGCCTTTTGAAAGTTGCACAACAGTTAAGTAGGTAGGAGATGGCAAGACATAAAATAGATACTCAAGTGACCATTAGAAGGAACGACATGAAAGGTGATTTTTCGTACTTTTTATTTTTGGTATAGACGCAATACTTGTGAATGACTCAGCATAGTTAAGTAAATAGTTGATGTTTATTGATAAATACAAGCGTTATTAATCATTATTATGTATGGGTGAGACGTTATAGGTCCTAGTTCCGAAGACAAAATTGGGCCTTTTAGCAGGACTACGAGAAAGATCGTCCGTTCCGTTCCTGTTCAGGTATGAATATGAGAAGAGCGGTCATTTTCAGCCATGACTCTGGTCTCTGTGTTTCCTTAAAAAGATGTTTTAATCCAGAGATCGTCTAAACCATGTCTAATAACGACGAATAGCTTATTTACTTAACTGTGCGCAGTTCTCAACAAATATTACATATGTAGCAAAAATAAAAAGTATGAAAGGTAATTTTTTCATACCGTTTTCTCGCAACGGTCACTGAACTGGCCAAACGGAACAGCACTCGGTCGATCTGTCCATACTAGTCGCATATTGGAAGGACTAATACTCTATTCGTGTGATTATTTTATCAGTGGGTCTTCTAGAATAGCTATGAAAATCGTCTTTCAATCTACCGCCCTCCTTCTAAATATCTACCTCCTGCGGTATTCTGACACATTATGTATAGAATTCTTGAGTTTAATCGTTTAAACTCCTTATAATCACTGATATAGAGACTTCTAGAAATCTCCCTTTATAGATTTTAGTTTAAAAAACTAAATATCTATGAATAAAACTTTATTTTAACAACAGGACAATGATCAAAATAATTTGAGAATAATTCAATATTAATTGTCGCAGACATAAGAATAACTTTCAGATCTTTTCGTTGAGTTATTAAACATTTAACAATATCTATAATAAAATCAGTAAATAAATGACGTTCATGTACTCTTCATCAATCACCAATATATCATAATTCGATAGCGATGAATCTGATTGAAGTTGACGTAAAAGAATATCTTGCAAAAATTAAATTTTATTTAATATTTAAAACATTTTAAATCATCTACCGTCTGTCATAAAAATAATTCGAGTAGATTTAACTCGAGTTTTTTCAAAACGAACCTAAATATAATTAAATAATTATCATTCGAAAATCGCAGAAAAAACAACTCATTACTTGATATCCAACTTGATTTTCGTATTCATTCAATGTTTCATAACTAACACGTTTTGTTAATGAAATACAAGCAATAAGTCGCGGTTGTGTACAAACTATTTTATCAAAATCAGCTTCAAGTAAAAATCTTGGAATCTAAAACTTTAAAATATTATTAAAAAAATTTTATTCTAATAATTTTTTTTCTATTTAACCTGTGTTGGTTTTTCACAACCAGTGCCAACAGCAATTAAAATCACTTGATGATTTTTTAATTCTTCAAGAATTTCTCGACGATGAATTGCAATTGGTAAATTATTTTGATCTTATCGAAGTTTATGAATACGTTTAAACTATTAAAAAACAAAATTTTATTGGAATATTAAGAAAATCAATGTTTTATTTGTACTTTTTCTTTTTGATTAAAATCAAAATAATATTCAATTATTGATTTAAATTCAGCTAACCGTATAGAAGATAATCGATGATATTCGGTAATTTTTGAACCAGCCATATCATAATGTGGATTAGCATGTGTAATTGTTATAGATACATTTAAACGATACTCCCTAGACTGAAAGGCTAGGGTCTAGAAACCGTAATTCACCTGTGTCTGTTTGTCCGTGTGTTTGTCTGTCTGTCTGTAACAAGCATGGCACAGATGACCATTTTTATGGAACAAATGACCATTTCTATGGCTCAAATGACCATTTCTATGGCTCAAATGACCATTTCCATGGCATAAAAAAGCTTTTTTGACGCAAATCACGAGTCTACTGGCCAAGAACTGTTTTTACCGTAAACCATGATATCGTTTTCGCGTGGATGTATGGAAGAGACGGATGTGACGTAGAAGGCGTTTATGCTTCATTGAGTTTGAGTTCGCAATGTGAAGTTTATGGAGAACAGTAAAAAATATGAGGATACGTGCATCACGGCGTCTGAAAGGTTTTTCAGCGGTGGAGGAAGGTGATATTACCACACATGAAACCTATGCTGCGAAAAGAGGCATCGTAGAGTGTTTAAATTATGAGCAGTGGAGCATGTTAGGTAGTGATACAGTACCATCAAGACAACGAAACGTTTCGAAATATATCATTTTATTATGCTATTCTAATGGTTTTCAGGTACAAATAGTTTAATGTCAGATAGGGTGCAATAGCTAAAACAAACGATGAAAAAGTATTTAAAACGGTGACATGAGTAATTTCTTTCGAATATGAGAAACTATGAGCTGTGCTCGGACATGAAAAACTTGTAAATGGTGGCAAGACTGAAAGTTCAAATATCAGACTGGATGATCGACAACATATAAACAGACATATTTGGCTATAATAAATAGCTAAATACCTAGTAGCAGTCTGTAGGACACGCTTTTTGTTTTCTATTCGGCGGATTCTCTTCAGGTACTGTTGTGCCAAATGCCTTAAAGTACGTTTGTCGTACGTCTTCTACTCTGTCTGTTTCTTATCACTGATGTTCGTGATGGAAAATAAAAGAACATGTGTGAATCTGATCTCAGTCGAGGGTGTGGGTCTGGGTGTCAATTTGGGTTTAGAGAACACTTACACCCACACCCACACCCTTACAGCGGTTTTACTGAATTTCTGGGCCTAGCGCACGGTATCCACAGTAACGTCAAAAGAAGGTATTTCGATCTGAGATTTTGTCCATAAACTGATCTAATGATTTCTAACCTATCCCAAAATTTTCATCAAAAACCGATGTTTTCTTTTCGAGATATTGGATTTTCAGGACAGCTCCAGTATTGGGTCCTGTCTGTTATAACAGGATTTGAAATAAATATAGTCATCTTAATTATCAATCAAGAACGAGGTGGAGGTATACCTTGTTTTCAGCAGATGCGCACGTCCATCGAACACGACTTTTTTTTCAAAACACAACTGAATGATGTTTAATCAATAATAATATATTGCTAATGGTATTCTCCATCATTCAAAACTTGTCTTATTGACCATTAATACAATTTGATTTAATGAATACTTGTAAAAATTTGTCTATAGATTTATGTTAATGAGTCATTTCATATACACAGTATTGTTATATTTTGAAAACATCCAAAATAAAATCTTTCTAATACTTATCATTTAAAAAGAAAGAGAACAGAACGAAAAATTCATTTTTCTTTTGTGCTTTTTCTCTTGTTACCAACCGAAGTCGTCACCAAGGTATGTTATAAACTAATGGCAGCATAACAACAGAACAAAACATTAACAAATACATTACACACATGGATGTCAAATATATTGGAGGTGATGTTCCATGGACGCTTCCGTTTGGTGATCATTTTTATTCATCAAGTCAAGCATCATTTACTGATTCACACAAATCTAGTAAATAAATAATAACAAAAACAAACATATGTCAAAGATGATATTGTCCGAATTATTTTTATTTTAGATTTAACTTCTGCAAGTGATTTAGAAATAATTGCTCGTCGACATAGTTTTGAACCATTATATTCATCTAATGAAAAACAATTACAAATAAAATCTCCATTTTCTAATTCTAATACACAATGGATGAATACAGGTGTTCTATTTACTGATAAATCAATAGAACCAAATGTTACTGGAATTCATAAAACAGGTATGTAAATTTTCAAAAAACAAAATTAATAATAAAAATAAATTTATATATCTAGATTTTTATGATGATCATGGACATACATTTTGTTATTTATGTTCAATTAATCAACATCATCATGAACGAACTAAACCTCGTGATCAATCACACGTATAAATTTAACTCAATTAGCTATAAAATAAAAATTTTCAGAAAAAAAATTATTTTTTAGCGACGAAAATTAATTCCATATAATAATCCAAAAGCTCTTAAAACTCGATCAGCATCATTAGATCGAACCGTTCAAAGTGCATCAACATCTGATTTAATACCTTATCGATTCATTGTTCGAACTGGTACAAGAAAAAATAGTGGTACACGAGCTCAAGTATGCAAAAAAAATTACACATGTGTTTTTTTAAAGTTTGTCATTTTGTTAAAGGTATTTTTATATATGCATGGAACAGAAAAAAATTGGACATCAGTTAATTTACATGCACGTACAAATCAAAATACTGATGGTTTTCCAAGTGGATCAGTACGAACATTTTGTCTCAAAGGACCTGATATTGGTCAATTACGTGATTTAAATGTTAATGTAAATTTATTACGATTTGTTTTCTATAATTGATAAGCTTTGTCATTTTTTTTTTTCATTAAAGCTTGTCGGTGCTCGTTCAGATAAAGAATGGTTTCTAAAAGAAATTGAAATAACAAATTTAAATACATCTGTTACATGGTTATGTGAATTTAATTGTTGGTTACCAAAAACAGCAGAAAATGATGAAATAAAACCAACTGTTAGAAAACAAAGAGATTCATCAAAGGATTATCGTGTTAGACCACAACCAGAATTATCATTTAATAATTTATCAGGTAATTTTAATTCTTTGGAACACAATCTAAAAAGACAGTTGAAGTATATAGAGTAGAAACTTGCATTCTCCCCCCCCCCCCCCGGCCCCCACCCCAGCCGGCGCCACCCCGAACGACACGTGGTACACGCACGGGTCTGCGTGCCATCCTCGCAAATAGACGCGAGATATAA